GGGGATGATGTGACCAAGGCGGTTCTGAGGATAGTGGAGGGCACGGAGTCGGCGGAAAGCATAAACGACACTATATTGGTACTTATACCAAAGGTTAAAAATCCAACTCTACTAACTCAGTTCCGGCCAATCAGCATGTGTAACGTGTTGTACAAGATTGCTTCGAAGGTGATTTCTAACAGGCTGAAGTTAGTTTTACCGGATATAATCTCAGAGGAGCAATCATCATTTGTCCCAGGCAGATTGATCACAGACAACATCATTACAACATACGAGTGCTTGCACTTCATGAAGAGAAACAAAGCAAAGAAAAATCAATCATGTGCACTCAAACTTGATATGATGAAGGCCTATGACCGGGTGGAGTGGCCTTATTTAAAAGCAATAATGATTAAGCTTGGTTTCACTCATCGGTGAGTTGATATTGTTATGAGCTTGGTCACAACAGTCAAATTTTCAGTCCTTTTCAATGGTAAGAAGCTCCAACAGTTTTCTCCATCACGAGGTATCAGACAAGGGGACCCTATTTCCCCATACTTGTTCTTGCTGGCAGCAAAGGGCCTTTCGTGCCTGATAAAATCAAAAAGTGAGTCATCCAACATGCATGGACTACAGGTAGCTCCTACGGCGCCACCGGTAAGCCATCTTCTTTTTGCTGATGACAGCCTGCTGTTCTTCAAGGCTAATGGTATGGGAGCAACGGAGGTGTACCATGTCCTGGACACATACTGTCAGGCAACCGGACAGCGTATTAACTATGCCAAGTCTTCTATCTATTTTAGCAAGGGTGTTCCGGAGTCGGTCAGGCAAGAGATCAAAGAGAGGCTCAATGTTCCCAACGAAACACTAAATGAAAAGTACTTGGGAATGCCTTCGGACATAGGGAGTTCGAAGAATGGGGCTTTTAAATACCTCAAAGACCAACTTTGGAGCAAGGTACATGGTTGGATTGAGCGCACCATGTCTTCTGCTGGTAAGGAAGTTCTTGTCAAATCTGTGGCTCAGGCAGTCCCGGTCTTCTCCATGTCTTGTTTCAAACTCCCAAGAGGTTTATGTGAACATCTGAATATGCTAATTCGAAAATTCTGGTGGGGGACAAAGGATGGAAAACGGAAACCGCACTGGGTCTCTTGGAAAACAATGACACAACCAAAAGGTATGGGAGGTCTTGGTTTCAAAGATTTCGAGCTTTTTAATCTTTCCATGTTGGCAAGGCAAGCATGAAGACTGCTGCAGCATCCGGAATCTCTAAGTGCGCGTGTGCTGAAAAGCGCTTATTTCCCAAATTCAGACATCTTGCAAGCAGTGCTGGGAAACCACCCTAGCCAGGTTTGGTGTGCCATTATAGAGGGAAGAGATGTACTGAAACAAGGTTTGATCAAGCGGATTGGCAACGGTGCAGATACAAATATATGGACGCAAAACTGGGTACCTAGAGAGGAGATGATGCAGCCATATGGATCCACCACACCTAACCCTCCCACTATGGTTTCTGAGCTCATAACGAGCGTAACCGCATCCTGGAATAAACAGCTTGTCCAAACAACCTTTATGCCGATGGATGCACATGTTATACTTGGAATACCCTTGTGCACACGAAATGTCGATGACTTTTGGTCTTGGCACTACGAAAAGCATGGTTCTTTTTCTGTGAAATCAGCATATAGCATGCTCGTTGCTACAAGGAACCGAAGAGAGGCATGGCTTGAGGAAGTCCCAGGATCATCCAGCTCCAGGGCCGAGGAGGGGGCGTGGAAAACCTTGTGGAAAACTGCAGTTTTGGGCAAAGTATGGATGTTTTTATGGAGATTGTCGAAACACTCGCTCCCGACTAATGACGTGCGTGCTCATCGTCATATGGCCGATTCCCCACAGTGAGGCATGTGTGGAGTCCCAGACTCCTGGCGTCATTCACTCTTGGAATGCACGTCGTCTAGAAGCGTATGGGCTCTCATGGATGAGGAGATTACACATAAAATAATAGAAACATCTGAGCCCAAGGCAAAGATGTGGCTATTTACACTAATGGAGCCGCTATCTCAGAAGAGTTCGTATTGGTTGCAGTGACTCTTTGGGCTATCTGGCACTCAAGACGTAAGGCGCTCCACGAAGCTATATTCCAAAGTCCCCACGCGACTCATGGATTCATCACAAGGTTTATATCCGACCTTGGCATTGTCAACGAGAAAAATCAAAGGCAGGCGTGACAGTCGTCACATGTGATCACGTGAATAGACGTCCAGCGAAGCCACCAACTGGACACTTCAAGATAATGTGGATGCCGGTGTGGCAAGTAGAAGTGGAGGATCAGCTGCGGCAATTTGCAGAGATGAAGATGGAAATTACATGGGGAGTTCAGCCCTTGTTGTCGAAGGGGTCACGGACCCAGCCTCCCTTGAAGCGATGGCATGCCGGGAGGCATTGGCCCTGGCAGAGGATCTTGGAATCCAAAACCTGGTGGTGGCTTCGGATTGCCAACAGGTGGTATCAGACATCAACAAAAACGCTAGGGGGAGGTATGGAGCGATTGTCAGCGAGATTAACCTCAGAGCACCCCCATTGCACTGTACTTTTGTTTTTGAGAGTCGTGCTGTCAATGTTGAAGCACATCGTTTAGCAAAGTTTTCTTTCTCTAGAGGTCCAGGACACCACGTCTGGTTTGGTGTTCCTCATGATGTCAGATGTATCCCACTACATGTGGAATTTCATGAATAAAGTTTGGTTTTACCCCTAAAAAAACATCTTTTTCAGCCTTTCAGGGTAGTTTTGATACTGGGCTCAAAACACGGAGCCCATCTAACTGGCCCATCTTTCTCAAGCCTCCTCTCCACTCGCAGCGGTCACCGGAGGGCGAAGATTGCTGGGCTGGCGGCGGACCCGACGGACGGAGGCTGCGCAGGTGGAGGTGGCGGCGGACCTCGAGCTCTCCCCACCCACGGCAGTGCCAAGATTTCAAGTCCGGCGAGTCCCTCCGAATGCATTGAGTGGTACGATACGGCACAATGCCATTTTGGTCAACGTGCGAGGAGAGCTTAGGGCGATTTTAGTATAGAAACGCTCTCCAATTACCTCATCACTCCTCTATATTCTGCAAGTCATACTATTTATTGAGCTCATAAACTGTGTGCTTATGGCCAAAACTGGTATTTTCTTGATGTAGTTCACTCGAAAATTACCTCCAGGTTACCATGATTCAGTAGACTGGTGCCTCCGTGCATTGATTGGGTGGAGAGGAAATGCGCAGCTTATTTTGCTTGCATTGGTTGGTTGGGTAGGGAGGAAATGTAAGGCGATGTGCACTGTGATTTGATTGTCCTGCCACTTTCCACCATTGCTGATGTATCATCCAAGCATCCTAGCTCCTTAGGTTGAAAGAAGAATTTCTCATGTTTCTCGGTGCCCACCATTTTCTGCTCCTTAGGTTATCTTTTGTGTCCTGGAGAAACTTAAAATATACCAGACTTCACAACTTGAGCCGCAGTCTGTAACACGATTCTTAGGCGGTTATAGAGAGCATCGAATCGACATGTCCACTCTATGCTTGACAATTGAAGAATGAAGGTGCTATTGTTATCTGTATCATATCAAACTTCAGACGCGTAAATAGAAGTTAGAAAAAAATATCTATTTACTCCAGCTTAAAGAGTATACTTGCAACTTCAAAAGTACTACAAGGGTATATGTTGTGATTATGTAAAGTTTGACCATAATCAAGAAGTCACTGTTAACTATTTATCTGTGTCATATGGACTGACTGACTGCCTAGTTAGTCCTTACCAGTGGAAGCTATTTATCTGATAAGATTGGTCATGACCTGTCCATTTTTCTTTCCCAGTTCTACCAAACACGCAAGTCTAGGTGTGGTGTAGCAGTTGAAACCTATGATTAGACTTGAATTTTCATTTTTATCAGTGGCACAGGAAACGTATTGCTCTGTCCAACATATAGTGATGTAAATGCCTATGACCTTTTTCTCTTCTATAAATATGTATGCGCTCTCTTAAAGTAGTGATGAATCTGTTATACTCTTAAAGCGGTATTTTGCAAGTGGAGTAATTGGTGGTTGCAATGAAGATATGCACCATGATTTAGCATTTGCGCTTTTCGCGTTTTTGGAAAGCATATAAGCACACATCTTAGTGTTGATGTTGATGTTAGGTTGCTACCACTTTAGAACATGTTTTCGGAGTCAATTTCTTGGAAGAAAAGGGGGCAAACTTTTACCTGCTCTAAGGCAAGGACATGTGCTGACCCTGACAGGAAGAAAAAACGCTAACAATCCTTCATAGAAGCTTATGTTTATGACAGTTAAATATTTCCTCATGTTTTTCAGCTAGCTGTTTGTGAGTTTCCTGTAATTCCTACCAGTTTTCAGTCACTGTTGGTTGACATGACAGAATTTAGTCAATCCTCTTGCTACCTGACTCAACAAACTTCTTCTGCATACTCGTGCTTTTAGTTTTATTTTTCGCACTATCTGTAATAGCATCTAGATGGCTTCAGTCATTCTAGATCACCAAACAGTACTTCAAGAAAAACATTTAGAAGCTGCATAAAGTGCAATCAGGCAACTTTTCTTTATGTTAGTTCTGCTATATATGATAGATGACCTCTGGTGTGGTAGCAGTGAGCGGTATTTTTCTTTGACGCGTGTTGTCAGTCAAGCTATATCATCGCATATCAAAGTTCGAAATGACCTATTTTCGAGCAACTAGGACAAAACAGTACTCCAGGAACTAAGATATAGTGGCAGAGAGAGAAAGGAAGAACAACCCAAGCAACCTTACATGTGTATTATATGTACACATACATACCATAGTAGTCAGAATAAAAACATCTCATGCTTGTAGGCTTATCTATGGACTCCTTTCTGAGTCTACAAGTGCATGAAAAAGAAATCTAAAGAAACTATGTAAAAAAGTGGTAAAATGATAAGCCTAAATTCCAAAAATGCAAGCCACAGGCTAGTATGCAATTCAAGCTAGGGAATTCAGGTTACATCATGCAAACTCGCTCAGCAGCTCTTCATCAAGTAGGATTTCTGACCAACTGGGAAACGGACTACTAACGCCGTCGCAGTTTGAGGTGCTGATGGTATTGCAAATGTTGGAAGCCGCCATGTCAGTGAGAGGTGGAAGGGAGTTTTCAGAGAGAAACTGCCTTTTCTTGCTGTTATTCTCTTCCTCACTGCGGTGCTGCCCACTGGTTTCAACATGGTTATCTGAACCCGGGTTGATGTTGCCAATTGTGTGATCAAAGGTAATGCTAGGCATTTGGTTCTGAGCCACCTGCCCTGCTAAGTCTATGCCACCATTACCCTCAAGTACACTTGGAGAAAGCATCTGCGGAGGGCTCAAGAAGTTGATCTGCTCCAGGTCCATGGTGAGACTGTTGAGGCTGCTGCTGGTAGTGGGGCTGGCAGCAATGGAGGCTGCAGAGTGAAGCAGTGACTGCACGTACTGGAGGTTGGCAGCCTGTGCTGTCTGAGCTTGCAGCCCGGCGGTGTGGTCATCCCATGGTTGCTGATTGATGAACTGCCGAAGGTTGGCGAGTGCAATGAGCTGCGGGAGAGCAGCAAAGAAGTCTGTTCTCGGACGGTGGGTCATCGGATCGAGGCCCATCTTGATGAGCTTCTTCCTGAGGTGGGTGTTCCAGAAGTTCTTGATCTCGTTGTCTGTCCGTCCAGGGAGATGCTTCGCAATAGCCGACCACCTGGTACGGTTACATACATATTAGCTAAAACTTTTCATGTGAGATTTATGCAGTGGAATGTAGGTGCAGTTAGTACTTGTTGCCAAGGACGGTATGCAGCTGGAGGATGGTTTGCTCTTCCTCCTGGGAGAACTTCCCTCTCTTGATGTCTGGCTTCAGGTAGTTGGTCCATCTTAGCCTGCAGCTCTTACCACACCTGTTCAGGCCTGCAAGAAAATATGGTTCTCAGTGAAGGAAATGTGCATGAGGCAGAGAAAGAGAGAGAGAGTGATGTATCATGTATGAGTACCAGCAAGTTGAGGTAGGGATCTCCAGCTTCCATGGCCATGCTTCTGGATGTAGCTCATGAGCTTCTCGTCTTCTTCAGTAGTCCAGGGGCCCTTCTTGAGGCCATTCTCATCACTAGAAGGTGGCCTCCCCATTGATGGATACTAGGATAGGTCAATGCCGGCAGGATGGGGGAGACGAGACGATATGCCTCCCCTTCACACCTTAGTGTTCCTGTCTTTGGGATTGCTGGTCGCCTGAACATACCTTCCTATATATAATGGCTTGCTGATCCATGTTTCCTAGAAGAACAACACCATGCTAGACATAATCATTCAAGTGGAAAAGACTGATATGCCCTTAGCATTTGCGTTCACTTTATGGTAGATAGCTTGCTGTTGCTGCATGCAATTGCATGTGCATGGTCTTGGGCTGGGGTCTTGTCTGTGTCCATACCATAAAATATGTGTGGCACTTGGTTCTGTTGACTTGAGTATGCTGGCCATTTGGGCAATCACTATGACCACAATGTGATGGCGACACAAATCTCACCTGCTTCTTTCCTCCTACCTTTGTCCTCTGCTACTAGTTGTTTTATGTGTGTAGCCTTGCGCTTGGTTCTGTTAGATGTAGATGTTTAACAATAGTTTCATGAGATTGTTTGCTTTTGAACAATCATGATATTGAATGACGAAAAAGGGTTTCCCTTGAATAACTGATGGTCCATATTTTTTTCCTTTCCATCTGAAGCCTGTATGGTTTTATGGAACAGAAGGTAACCGGGTGATAGAGCTTAATTTCAGTATCCTTTGACTTGAAAAATTGCATTTGTTGGGCTTCTATGCATACTCTATGTTTCCTTACTGAAAATTGCACAGGATAGGGAACATGGAAAGGCAAATGAAACTCTGAATGAAGCAAGTGAAGGATCTGTGTTCAAAGGCACGGAATATAGCAGGTAGCCAAGAAATTTCGTGGCTGCTAGCTACTAGCCTGGCGTAGTGGCGTATAATGCATTCAGATTATTCAGTGAAGCTACATCAGAGTGCCAGCAGGATACAGGATTGGACAAACAGCTGAACAATGTTTGCTGGACAACGCCAAGTTCTGAAACATGGTGAAGCCCAGATCATGTCACTTGTTCGCTCTGAGTTCCAACAATTGCACGGAGATAAAAATAATCACATCACTCTTCAACTTGAATTTAAACAAATGGAGCCTAAATTCCTGATCCATTGGCTCCACGAAACAACATGAGAGCACTGGGAAAACACTCAATATGAGAATTCACTTTCTTGTCTCTTCTTGATTAGTCGTAACTACCCACTCCAGGTATTGTTTTTGTCTGGTTTCATGCGGTATCCGTCATTCCACGTGCTTTACCAGGTGTGGGTTCAGATTTTATATTTCTGAAATCCATCCATGCACGCAACGTGAGAAGAAAGCAGCCATGAAGCTCTCGTCACCTTGTCTGTCTTCCTCCTGTCCTGTTATTTGGGTCCATAAACAAATGCAGAATCAGGTATGTACACCACTGGACAGAAGCATAATGGCCTGAGATATATAGGCCAATGGAAATGTACAAATGCTTTCTGCTCATATGTTTATGTTGTTTTCTGATGTCCCTTGACTGCTGGACTTGTATCATCTAGTACATTATTGGTTAATTTGTCTAACTAGATTGTTATTTCACTTATTTGTCTAGAGTATTCTGGACCCCTCTAAAACTTTTGCAGATTATAAAAAGATTAAACAGAAACTGTGCCTGGTAACTATATACTTGATTAGGGGTTTAGGACTGGTCTGATCATATCAAATGGTTCATATTGGAGATAAATTTGAATGCTTCATTTAAAGTAGTCTGGGTTGCTAATTCCAATTTGGTCTCTGTGTTTACTTGCAGAGTTAGATCATTATATTCTCTGTTTTCAGTTTCAATGATTTTTTAAATAGCGAATTGCACTGTCCCAGTCAAAGTTGGTTGAGCCTATCGTCCTCGATGATCTCATTAGTCATTACATCTAACAGTCCTATGTTCTTTAACTAAGGCACTCCTTGGTTAGGCTTCTTCATGCCGTGTCATGTACTCATGTCAAACCGAATGCACTATGCACATATACACATATATCCTTTTAGTTAAGGAGTGACTATGGTGTTATTTTGTGAGTGACTATGGTGTTATTTTGTTTATTTACTTGATGAACACTTGCAAAAAAGTTAGCCATTTTTTGTATTGTTCTGTTTGCACCATCCCCACCCCATCTTTTACTGTGGTAAATTAGAGAACCACATTGTTATTTTTTCCTTGTCAGAAATATCAGTGTGAATCAGCATGTAGAACAGTCAAACCCGCAAAGGCCATTGTGTTTATCATCTCAATGCACATTAGAAGGGAAGTTTTACTCTTCTTAAAAGCTTGTAGCATAGAAAATAAATACTCTACATGTATATGTCATGAGTTAGCACTCTCAACGGGTTGAAACTCTCACCAACTAGCTTTTTCTTGTAGGTTCCAGCGGGTTGTAAATGTAATGCATAATCACCCCAGATCTTTGCTGATGTCTTGTAGTTGGCCATTTTTTTTGTATAGCTCTGTTTGCACCCTATCCCCATCTATTGTTGGGGGTAAATTAGAGGACCACATTGTTATTTTTTTCCTTATAATTCTGAAATGTCAATGTGAATCAGCATGTGGAATAGTCAAAGCCACAAAGGCAATTGTGTTTATCATCTCAATGCACATTGGAAGGGAAGTTTTACTCTTCTTAAAAGCATGCAGTATAGTAGATAAATATTCTACATGTATATGTCATGAGTTAGCACTCCAACGGGTTGAAACTCTCACCAACTACTTTTTTCATGTAGGTTCCATTTGCAATACATAATCTGCCAAGATCTTTGCTGATGTCTTCCCTGACGAATAAAAAAATCAAGTGCAAAGCACTGATGAATGGTTTGCACTACTCTACTGAAGAAGGCTATTCTGATTTGTAAGGCGTTGTTGTCCTATTACAGGGACCTTCCACCCCGAGGAACAGGTGACCTACTGATGAGTTTGCGTACCAGTGCCAGGATCTTATCCATTTCCAAATTTGCCATGCATGGCTGCAAATGATTGTACAGGAACAAATAATTGGTTTAGATGATTGAACACAGGAATATATGGTAAGTACATTCTAGGTTTATATTTTAACACCATTATGATTGGTATCATTTGACTAAATTGTTCTGGGTACGTCTTCCACTGTATCATTAGACGGTCAAACATCCACGCATTCACATGTGGTTCATTACAAGTGCATGAATGTGTTGTAATTCAGCCATAGCCTATGGTCAGAAGCCTAGGGTTTGCAAGTATAGGTTGTGGAAGAGAATACCTGTACCTGATATTCAAGTTCAACTCAAGATGATGGCATCAATGACACCAGCCTTTGACATGTGTGCAGGAAAACAAAAGTTGGCTGCAGGCGAGTGGGCACTAGTATCATCCTGGAAGCTGGAGTTATCCAATTAGTTTAGGTATCTGCTTCCAATGAGAAACATCGTCGTCCTTCATCGATGACGGATTTTGCCGCTCTGGACACTCCAGATGCAGCAGCCCCCATCAACTAACCGCCTTTGTTAAATCTTGTAGTGTTTGTGAACTGTTGTAGTGTCGTCGCTCCTGTGTATTTAGGTATGCAATACTATGCTATGGCGAATATGACCACTACAATCTCCATTCACAAGTGCCCATTGTTCTTTATTACACATCTACAAATGACCTATGTTTTTTTCCTTTTTTATATGGAAATTCTTTATTGTGTATATTAGTGAACAAAGTATCATTTGTTTTTTTACTATGCATACTAAATTGACAAATGTTTTTCTGGCATGAAATGGAAGTGATTATTGATGTACTCCCTCCGTTCCAAAATACAGGACATATTACATTTTGTTTGGACAAACCTTTGACCAACGGATACACTTACTTTTTAGTATGAACCTAGTGATCGTCAATTTTATATCACATACAATGTAATATTGATACTTGTTAGTCAGAGGTTTGCCCTACCGACAGAAGAGTATTATATAGCCAATTAAATCCAAAATATTCTCTGAAGACTAGAATCAGCAGCAGCCAGCAGGTCTAACTTCACTCCCTGATCTCTATTGACAATTTGCGAAAAGGCAGGTTGGTTGAGTATGAACCTAACTGCATTACACCCAACTTCGCCAGAAGAAAAGGTTATCCACAATTTTTATTTTGCAATTTCCCGATTATGTATTGACTATGAACCTGTATTTTGCTGCAAGAAAGAGAACCAGTTATCCCAAGATCTTCATGTGTCTACTACTACCTCTGTAAGAAACTTCTCATAGCAAGTACATCTTATCCTGACAGGCAAAACCAAATTAGCACATCCGCGTTCATGTTTTAACAGTGTCATAGTCAAAGATACAGAGTAGTTAGCCCGTCATATAATCTTTCATCACATTAGTGGTTTGACTAACAGACATGAAGGGAGAGTCCAAAGACAATAATAAGGCCCTCTCCAAGTCACTCCCTAGGTTCCGAATTACTTGTCGCAGGTATGGATGTATCTAGATGTATTTTAGTTCTAGATACATCCATTTCTGCAACGAGTAATTTGGAACGGAGGGAGTACGTTTGATTGTCACTCTCAAAACTAAGGTTCCATGTGCCATGAACCTCGGATGAGTACCTCAAGTGGCTCAGGGTCAAACTAAAAGTGGCGAACAGTTCAATTGGCAGCACACGTTCCTTTTGGGTACAGGAGTATGAGACTGCCAGGCTTGTTTTCTTCTTCATCCTCTGTTTGCAGGACTTTGGTCAAATCCTTGCTAGGTTTGCATGATATTATAACAAATGTTACGAACCACGACCTGCTCGACACAGAAATAGTGGGCAGTGATCATTCATGATAGATGTTGAAGGACATCTCAATAATGGAACATCAACACCTACTTCTCTAACCAAGATCAATGATGAGATTTTGGCTCATGGACGCATTTGAAAGTTAGGTTCAGGTAAAACATTTGTTAAATAGCCACCTCAGATTTGGCAAGCATCAATGTGTGACCAGGCCCTATAAAATTACTATCACCTTCCTCAGCCGTCAGATCAAGGTTGAAGAATATCTCCCTCTTATGTAGTAGTATTATCTCCTTTGGTGCTATAGCACAATTCTGAACCTACGGTGCAAACTGGCAGCCAGAGAGGGATTGTGCCCACTCCAACTCACAACACCATATTACTTGAGAACCATAAAGTTAATGTCAAACACAGCCACGAGCTAAACATGCATATATGATCATAGAAACGGAAGAAATCCATCAAATTACACATGCTTGCATAGTAGATTAAATTGGACATCATAAGTTGGATGGGAATAAGGGTGGGGCATCACAGGCAAAATTTACAAGCGTCGTCAGTTCCCATAGATAAGTCCAAACATAACTACTGGGAGAATCCATGAAGTTCATATTTTGAACATTGTCTGTCACCCGAAAGGCTGAAGACGGTTCACGATCTCCATTTGCAAACTCGGTGTCCAACTCCGTCAGGTAGACCTAATTGACCAAAAGACCTGAAATTTTTGGTAAAAAGGAAACAAGGTTGGTTAGACAATAGTAAAAGAAATGTATGATAGAAAATTGTGTGGGGAAGTAGATGATGAAATAGGAGTTCTGGTGGTCATTGACAAATGGCAAGCAAGGGCACTATACATGTATATAAAGTTTTTCTTCGGGCAACCAGCGGGAGCGCTGCGTTTTCATTAAGATATAAGAGAGAAGAGAGAACAAAGTATGTAGGAGTCATTTTCATTAAGATAGAAGAGAGAAGAGAGAACAAAGTATGTAGAAGTCAGCGGGTCTTTAAGGGTAACACACCAAAACCCCAAATGAAAACAAAAGGCGCACGACATGCACGCCGAAAGCCCTGGCCATGCATGCCGAGTGTGACCTTGCACTGCTTTATATCCTTGAAAGCTAGATTCACCAAGTCGACTACATAGGTAATGTCTTCCCTCAGATATGACACATTCATGATATCAAGATTCGGAATGTAGAAATGATTTAGTTGAACATATGTGGTTTTGGCATTCTTTTAAACTGTTAATACAGCAAGGTGAGTACTGTTTCTGAGACCATCCAAGAGTGTGCCTTTCTCTAAGAACTGTGAAAATCAATTTTGCTCCACAGAACTACAGATACTCATGCAAAAATGGAGTATGCAATACAAATGCCTATTTATTGGGGAGGGCAAGACAAGCATAATTTTGCATAGAGCACCTACGGCATGCTACTTCCACCACCCAAACAATCCAAGAGCAATTCATAAATGCCTAGCATGTAATCAACTAGTAAAATCAAAATTTCGGGCAGCTGTTTTTGTTCCTGTTTACAACAAACAGAGTCAAGGCAAACTAAATCATAATAAAACAAGTTCCGCAATTATTTCAGCCATGTGAACTACCACACAATCATAAAAAGTTCAATATATATACCATAAATGCCTTGCATGTAAGCAACTAGTTTGGCAGAAATCAAAGTTTTGGCCAGCTGTTTTTTATGTTCACAACAAAGAGAGAATTCCTTATTTGACCCATTTTTAAAGTTTGGTTCCCTTTTTGGCCCAGAATTTTGTTTTCTACCCTTTTTGACACCCAAACTTCATTTTAATCCCTACGTGACACTTCTGTCAATTTTGGCTATTAGCGGTGTTAAGTCTGACCTAAAAAGACTGTTTTACCCCTAATGTAGTATGTGAACATATTATTTAAATGCAACACAAAGGTAATGTGAAATATTTTGTCCTATTTGAATAAGTAAAGAAAACAAAATTATTTATATGACTAATAATAATAATAATATTAATACAAAAAATGGAACAGTGGCGAACCCATTTAGCCTCTACTGTAGCATATAAATTTGTACACATTAATCTAGCGTATGACAAGTTAATGGGTCATGTCGCATAGATGTGTTCATGCCACAAGTGCTGCACACGCACAGGCCATTGCGATACAGATCGATCGGCTCTGAGCTGCAATATGTGGCAGGTTGTGTTGGCCCCATACAGACTATGCGAGTACTTCGGCGACGGCAGCGCGCGAGGATGACGATGACGGACGAAGCAACAAACTTCCGACCGAGACTAGCAAAGCTAACTACGTACGCCACACACGTACGTACACCGGCCGTAGACAGAAGCATCTCACGCATGTATAAAACAGCAGACTAATCGATCGTTGCTTGATCGATCCGGCTAGCTGCACACACAAGAAACGCACGCAATAGCTAGCTGGTTTGATACCCTCTTTGTGTCAATTTGAAATTGCTTTTACCACATTTGCCGCGTGGTGTTGGTTTGATACCCTCAAAAAATAAAACTAAAAGTTAGCTGGTTTGATGGCCGCACGAACGTACACATGTACACATGTATCTAACCGGACATGACACAGGTGCACTTCGTCATATTTTTTGTTTGTTCACGCCCCTCCTCTACCCTTTTGTAATGACATACTATTACCAGGGGCAAAATTGTCTTTACACGTGTCAGTTAACATCTCTGGATGGAAAAAAGGATGAAAGTATCACATAAGGCACAAAATAAAGTTTGAGTGTCAAATAGGGAATAAAACGGTTTTCTGGGCCAAAAAGGGAACTAAATTTTAAGAGTGGGCCAAATAAGGAATTCTATCCACAACAAACTGCGATGCAGTTAACATTGTTCAGGCAGACTAAATCATAATACTACCTCTCTCTCAGTTTAGAAGGCGTGCGCGTAGCCCTAGGTCGTCAATTTGACCAACCTAATACAAGTCATATATTACAAAAAATATACTAATATAAAATTCAGATGTTCTATTTTCAAACGATATAATTTTTGTGTTATATAGTTTATATTAGGGTGATAAAATTGCAACCTAGGTATACGCGTAGGACTTGTAAACTGAAACGGAGGTAGTAAAACAAGTTTCATAATTATTTCAGCCATGTGAACTACCAACAGAAAAAGATGCATTTAAACAACTAGTTTAGCGGAAATCGAAAAATTGGCCAGCTGTTATTTTTTCATGTTCACAACTAACTGCGATGCAGGAAACAGAGTTAAGACAGACTAAATCATAATAAAACAAGTTTCACAATTATTTCATCCATGTGAACTACCAACAGAACAAGATGCCTAGAAATGAACTTTTAAAATACTCAGTTCAAATATTCAACCAATGCTGGCACAATAATATGAACAATTTACCTGCTCTAAGTGCATTTTTGAATTTCAGTATCTCGCACCCTCATAAGTCATCGTTCATAGTAGGAACTTTGTCTGATAACGTAGACCTGCATCATTTACATAACAAAGCCAGCATTGTTAGCAGTGACACACATGATTTCTCAGCTGACAATCTTTCCAAAAATTATTTCCAATAGAGGCAGTAAGCATTCTAGGATCTGCTTTTAAAATGAAGGAATGTTGCAGGGATGTTGAATAGTAATGTTTCCAGCAATAAACAGGTCCAATTTGTCATCCTGCAGCTCAACTCGACGGTTTAATTCTACAACATACGGAACCACAGAAGCCCAATGCATAATGTCTACAGTTATTACATGATCATGACGAGAATTTCTCGTGAATTAACTTGACCAACTTAATATTATTACTTGGGTGTACAAATATTGTGGAACATTCATGATAATGGCAGCAGCACCAAACATGAAAGCTTCAAGATTTTCTAGAATTGTAAGATGCAACTGGAACGCGATTCTGCAGAAATTGTATGAAATGCACATCCATTCTCACCAGATACAGCATTCCATAGATAGATATTTAGAATCTCACCTTGAACATCGTCCGGTTGATCAGCTCGAACACCAGACAATCCCCATCAACCAGGTTGTGCTGGATGGCGAACCCTCTCCATCCAGCACTGAGGCCGTTCTTAAGCGCAAGGTAGAGCGATTCGGACTCGACGCCCTGCTCATCCTTCAAAGTGAGCTTCTCGTCACGCTTCGGGAGATGCTTCCGGCAGAAGGGCAACGGGAGGCCCTGCCAGTAATCCAAATGAACAACCCCAGAATCATCAACAGATCATCGGTTTCGATCAGCAAGTGAACTGAATACAACGGTGGGGGCATTTTGCTTACCAGCCAGAACCCTCCGGTGACATGTGACTGCGTCATGGGCTTGACAAAACTGGGGTAGCGTGACCCTAGCTTGGCCTGCAGCTCTTCGGCCATGGTGGTGGCATACTCTCTGGCCTTGTCTGTAGCGTACACTCGATTAATCAAGTCGCTCCTTGTGCTGGTCGTCGTCCTGCGCCCCCTGCTCGAAGGCAACCAAGAAATGGAGATTACTAAATATGCAACGAATTTGTCACTGGAGAGGAAGAATCGGGCGAGACATCACCTCCTGATCTTCTTCTCGAGGACATGAAAGACATCCTACACACATCACATAAAAGATGCATTTTTCGGTTAGCAATCGAATCAAGGCAAAGAAAAAAGAGGAAAAAGGAAACTCAGCAGCCTCACCTCGAATCGGTAGTTGGGCTGCTCAGGGAGGCTGGCGACGCGGCCGGACCGCCGGATCGGGGCGTCCTCGCCGGCCTCCCGCGGCACCCGCTTCCGCTTCAGGGACTTGGCCTGCGACACCGACCAAGAACCACCAGGCGATTCAAACAACGAGAAGGCGAGTCGAAGCGGAGGGGGGAGGCGAGGGCGGCGGATCTGACCGGCGAGGGCTTGGGGGTGGCGGCCTCCCTGACGGCGGCGGAGAGGTGGCGCAGCTTGAGCTCCTCCAGCTTCCGCTGGTTCTCCTCCACCTGCCTCCGGCGCTGCTCCTCGTACGCGATCGCTCCGGCCATCTCCTCCCTCCTCCTCGATTTCCTCTGCCTCTCTCTCGCGGTTTGAACTGGTGGGGGAGGCGAAGGCGGCAGAATGGATGGGATTGGGAGGAGGCGAGAGGGGAAAGCTGCGGCGGCCTATAAATTAGACTTGTGGGCGCCAGCGGAGGGTTCTAGCAAGGACCGGTCTATGGACCGTTTGACGAGGGGTCCGGTCTCTGGTGTGTTCGCTGGGTGTGGACGGGCGCATGGGCTGGGTCCTGGGATGGCGGGGGTGCCAGGCCAAGAGCCGCGAGATTCGAAAGTTCAAACGTTCGAAATCTCTCTCGCGAGGGCTTGGGGGGCAGGCAGCTCGCCCCGTGATTTTCTGCGGGGGCCACAGGTCAGTGTGACGCGCATGGTGGGTGGTAAGTCTTGTGCGCTTTTACTGGTGTGATCACGATTTATTTACGGCCAACACGCGTGATATTGGTGGGAATTTTTTTTTGTTAACTTTGATATTGGTGGGGTAATTCGACAAAGAAATCGCGTAGGAAGAAGCATGTCCATGAGAGCATATCTAACAGACGCTCAAAAAGAGCTCCGTACACTAAAATTTTGTTTTTTTGGCGCCGCACAGCTCCAGCATATGCTGTAACGCTAAAAGTTTTTGAACGCGTGCTGAAAAACGCTATCGCGCGCAGCATATTTTGGGCTCCGGATTGCGCGCGCTTCACAATTTGCACTGTGTGCTTTTTGTGCGCGTGTTTTTGGGCGTCTGCAAAAACGATGTTGGTCCCAGCGCACTAAAAGTGCTAAAGTGGCGCGCTATAATTTTTATTGGGCGCCAAATTTTTGTGGGCCGTTGGAGATGCTCTGAAAGAACATGTATTGCTAACATATTTTATCAAAAAAAATGAACATATGTTCTCCTTTTTTTCTTACGGGAAACATATGTTCTCCTTTAGAAAATGTTGGGAAAAATTATATGGTATAGCTTGATTGTCTACATTTGAATTTTCATCGTGATTTTTCTGTCTAATATTTAGCCAATGGTTACAAAATCATTGTATATTGAGAGTGCTTCTGAATATGAGTGAATAGTGTCTATTATGGTCTAATGTAAAATACTCCCTCCGTTCACTATTCTTGTAATATCGAAATACGAATTCGGTGGTATAATTTTTGCCCCCCGCCGCAGTCGGTCTCGCTGGTTAAATTTATGGTCAAACTTAGATCTCGAGAAGCGCAGACGCGCTACATTATGGAATGGAGGGTTTGTAGGTCAAATTATGAATTTGGACAGTCAAACTAGTGTTGGTAGTCCCTGCAAAAAAAAGTGTTGGTAGTACTTTCTGAATTACTTTAATTGGTATCACAAAAAGGCAAATTTACCGGGTGCTACTGAAATAGTTTTGGAATGGTGCTCCTCTTGAAAATATTAGCACATTTTCATTTAGACTAATCCACAAGTAGACACTAAACATGGCAATGGCAATATGCAACTTATATTGATATCTAAACATGTGAGCATGTACAATACATAGAATGAAAACATTTATGAACATAGCATCTATGGCTAGCACATGAGCGAGCAAATGGGGATGAACAGGTCATACCCTTCGTTTGGCCAGGCCAACGCGGCAGCGACAATAGCAGCCTCGGCGGTGTCTGTGGCCTTATTCTTGGCGGCAGCGTCGTCCATGGGTTCGATGCAGGGGAAGTAGTGGAAGCAGATGAGGACGGAGACAAGGACAGATCGGGAGTAGTCGTGTCAAGACGCTCCCAAAAAACCTTATTGTTGTTTTCCCGGGCAGGATGTCGAATGACAGAGTTCTGGAGGCACCTGCTCTCCCGACCAACCGTGCACGCGGTCGTCGGGATGGGATCGCCGGAAGCAGCACAGAGAGAGGAACAATAGATGACGACTACGGTTGTGTAGGAGTGAGTGAGTGAGTTAGGGTTCACTCCACATGCCATCGCTTCCTTATATAGGTTGTCGGGTAGATGGGCCTAGGCTTAGACCCACGACCAAGTCCGCGAACAGCCCACGGTCCAACGTCTCAGACAGTGACGTTTCCGTTGGCATCTTGTTAATTAATCCACAATTAATTAATCATTCTTGACCGGCCGCCCCTCGCGCGCATCTCCTTATAAAGGAATCTCACCCTTACTACTAAAGCAGTAAGGTACTAAATTTCCCACCATTTGCCATGCACCTAAATAAGCCTTAGAGATTAATCAGGGATTATTGTCTTATATGGATCAAAACCTATCTATAATCTAACAGCTACTATTGGTGCTACTGAAATAGTTTGGGAATACTTTTGTGATAATAGCCCCAAAATGCCAGGCCTAAGAGCATCTCCAACAGTTGCGCTAAACTAGAGCCGCGCCGCAAAATTGCCCATTTTAGCACGCGCGCAATCGGTATAGTGGCTCCAGCGGGCGCGAAAAAACCCCACGCGCGGCATATCTAGTTAAGCGTGCGGGCCGAAACTGCCTCGCGCGCCGCTTATTTTCTGCCCACTCTCGCGCGCTGTACTCTCGCGCGCTCGCTCACAAC